AGAAAACCTCAAAAATAACTACACAGAAAACACAGATGGTCACAAACGGTGCATTACTTTAACCAGTAATAGTAACTCAGGAAAGAGATGGAGGAGATTGATTGTTTTCACAGATTATCTGTCTCATAACAAACTGCTACGACATCGTGACAACTTTAACAAATATGGAGAAAACATATTTTTTATTAAAGTTATGTACTGCAGCTTGAATAAAATGCAACTGCATAGCATTTTTAGAAGTCTGGATTGCTTTATGTGTAGTTGCACGTTGCTTTTGACTGTTGCTCATGGGGAGAGACATTTCAGTATCTAAAACTAATAGAAAAAAATTTAAGCAACCTACTTGCATACTAGATGTGGACTGTTGGATGTTAAATTCATGAGTAGTAAATATTGTGCTAATTATCAGTATTGAACCAAAGAAAGCAAGGCAGTTGTAAGCCTTTAAAATTGTGACGCTTTTTATGGGTCAAATAGACTCAAAAAATTGTAACAGCAGCTGTGCGGGGGGGTGGGGGGGGCAAACAAATTTTTGTCAGGGGGCCCACAATTCCTGGTGGCGCCCCTGGAAGCAACTAATATTTGTGATAACTCAGAAAGCTCAACTGACTGACCAAACCTCCTTTGGATAATTACCTTGCTTTTTTTATAGGCTAGATCAGGGGTAGGAAATCCCAGTCCTCAAGGATCGTGTTCTTTAACACACAGACGTGTCCCAGGTCCAACACATTTCAATAAAATAGCCGGATCACCTCCTAAGTGCAGTTAAGTTCTCCAAAGTCCTGCCAATAACCTGATTATTTGACTGTGTTTAAGTAGAGACGCATTTAAAGGCTGCAGGACACCAGCCTTCAAGGACTGGAGTTCCCCACCCCTGAGCTAGATTGTCTAATGACACACGCAATGAGAAAAAAGAATATTAATTTGAGAAGGGCTAAATATCAAATTGCTGCCTTCTGCTGTAAATATGTGATTCTGAGAAAATTAAACATGGAACAGATTATTTAAATGCTATTGCATCATTCTTTGCCCTTATCAATAAGTTAATTTTGATGTATACTTGAGTACAAGTATATCAGACCATGTAATTGTAGTGTACTAATAGAAGTATTTAATTAGTATACTTTCTATACTATAACTAATTAGGAGCATTTTTAAGTTTATAAGAGTACTTTAAGTGTATTTATAAGGACATTTTAAGTTCACCAAATTATACATTCAGGTATGTCATGATGACATAGAAATCTCGATAAACTTTCTTCTTTTACATTCTGACAAAATGAAATTTGCTGTTTTTTGACCAGAGCCCTTGAAATAGAACCTGCTTAATGTCATCACTTGATCTGGATGGCACGGCAGCTGACAGGTGCAAGGCGAAATGAGCTGCAAACAGGTGAAATGGCACAGCAAATGGCAAGACAAATTATACATGTAAAAAACAAATGCAGGAGAAAAGTGCTGCAAACCAAAAAATGCTGAATAATAGAAAATAGAAGCAAAAACCTTCAATAAGCAAAAAAGGCTACAATCACAAATAAAACACTGCAATCACAGGAAAAAGGAGCAAGAGGGACAAACGCTGCAAATGGCAAAAACAGTTGCAAACTCACTCCACAAAACGGAAGTGAGCCGGAGGAGAATCAAAAAAAGAACAAATCATATCGGACCAGATCCTCAGTAAAAATAAGAAGTGTAAGTGGTGAGTACATTATTAATTTGTCACAAACAGTTGTGATTTTAGGTGATAAAGTAATCCTCATAGCAGAATCTATCAATCAGTCCATCCAAAATGAGGCTTCTTTGAAATGTACACCTGAATTTTCAGAGCAGCATAGCTCCACTGTTTTGGCATGTGAGTGTTTGTTGTATTTGCATGTATTGTTTAGTACTTGTATCAAAATATAAAATTACTTTCTGGAGATTTTGATACTCCTTAGAATCTTAAACTTTGTCACAATTAATTATCCTATAAACCATCCAGGTTTTTAGGATCTGAATGGTTTATAAAAAACTCAGGATCGATTTATTTATTTATTTTATGATTTTTACAACAATAAGTAAAGAGGAATTGAAAGGGGGGAAATATGCGGCAAAAGTATTGAGGTCTGGAGTTGAACCCTGGGGAACTTTAACCAGCGCTATAGCCTCTGCATATAGGGGGCGCTCTCTACCCTCTATACCAAGCAACGGCTCATGCAGGATCTATTTACACTGAATGAAAAGGAATATATATGAAGTGACCAAACAAAATATCAAAAACAAAAATTCAGCCACTTTTTTGTGGTTTCTGGTAAAAACTAATATTGTACTATTGTGCTTTTGTACTTTTGCTCCCTTTTTGATCCCTAACCTAAATCCTCTGTATACTCTGTGAATCTTAACTTACCACATCTCATGAGTGGAGCTATAGCACACCCCCCAAAAAGTCTCTTTTCAGAATTACTGATTTGTTTACCAGTCGCCTTAAGGTAGCAGTCAGGAATCTACTCCAGAGCTTCAGCTGCAGAAGGAGGGCCAAGCAGAGATGAGGCAATCCGCTATGCAATTCAATCTCTGCCTCAGCCAACTTACATATGGCCATACATTTTTACACAGTAAAAAATGTGGTGTTAATATGTCAGTGTAAACCTAATTTAATCTAAATAGAGTATTTATAACTATATGGAGTGTAAATCGGCTCTGACGTTGGAGTTAAAAGTCAGAGTAAAATGCTACATTCACGCAGTGAAACTTTTGACTCTGTCAAGTGTCAATAACGCGCCAGTAAAGATTTTTGGCAACCGCGAAGAGGAGGAGGAGGAAGAAAGAAGACGAAGCAACAGTTTTCTTAAGTTCGTGAGCGGCTACTTCCATTTTTGGATTCTGCACGGAGTTGTGCTACAGAAAAGGTAAGTAACCCCTCCATGTCTCCTCATTTTTGTACCCGTTTTATTCCGTTGTTGACATTCAGGGTAGCGGGAGAAAGTTGTTAGGGCGAGAGCCGAGGGATAGCCCTATGCTAGGCAAGTTGTCCACCTCAAAATATTTGCTCAGTTTGTTTCTGAAGGTTGTCAAGGTAAGAATACGTAACTGTTCTAAATTGTAATAGTATTAATCACTGTTTCTTATACCTTAGCCCCAGGTTCCGTGGGTACTTCGGGTCGTAGCACCCACCGAGTCATGTTAGCATGGTTAGCTTCATGGATGTAGCAGCTAACAGGCGCCATACTGCTTGTACAGATTATGTTCAAGTGTATTGGGAATATGAACTCAGTTTTCAAATGGCATTACCTTTAAAGCACATAAATTAACTATTAAAATGTGTCTGTCATGGTTGTTTTTTGTTATTCTTTCTTTTCGAACAGACCATGCTACTGCGTGTCTTGTTTGGTGGGGAGCAGAAGTACGTGAAACTTTCTGACCTAACATTTGATGCATTCGTGAGAGAAGGTTAGTTTGTTAGTAAAATAATCTTACTACTTTTTTTCTTGCATAAGACACCCATCTTGCATTAAGTAATTTTTTTCTTTGCATTAACATGTAAAAAAAAAAAACAAAAGCGTACTGGATTGAACTCACTGGCATTTTGTAAAATTACTTGGGTTACTCTACTTACTTCACCCTTTATCAGCAGTAAATGTTTTCATTTTCACTTCTTTACTATTTCTTTCTGCTTTAGTGTGCCTGAAATTTAACATTCCAGAAGGCAGACAGCAGGATCTGAAGGTGTATGACCAGTCTGAAACAGAAGTTGATGTAGATGTTTTTGAAGAAATAGTGAATCAGTCACCTGGAACCTTTCGAGTTATGTTGAGCAACAAAGAAGATCCTGGTAATCACCAACAATTCACCGATGTATATATATTTAATTTAGAAGCTGGTTTGGGAGCATTAGAGTTCTCATAAACCGGCTGTTGCTTTACTTTTTGCAGGTGCTGTTCTATCATCATCGTCATCTTCAGTGACATCTGACGATACTATCATTCTGAATTTCACAATGTGTGACCCATCAGAAGAAGAAGCTACTGCTGAAGGAAGTCAACCTAAAAGGCCATGTCGCATAAATTATGAGGCACAAGCAGTAAGTTATTACATTTAATTTAGCATTGTTTATGTACTTTCTAGGTTTAGTGGTTCAAGAGTTTTAATTTTTTTTCTTTGAAATTGAAGTTGATTGAAAAAATCTTGACAACAAAGCCTGGTGGTGAGCGAATCATGCAAGAGTATGCAAGAACTAAATGCTTGACAGATGCAACCAGAAGACAGATGATAAACATCCTTACAGCTGCAATGACAGAAGCACATGGGTAAGAATCAACTTGGGCAACTTGGGCTATAAAGAAACATTTTGCTTTGCTTTTCATTATTTTTTCAAACATCAGTTTAGTGACTCATTGTTTGATCATATATCAGATCATCCCCGCCTAAAAGCATCAGAGTGATGTATGCTCAGGGGATCGTTGCCCTATTTCCCTATCTGGAGGACCCGTTTTCAAAACATGGATATGTAAGTAAAAGGGTCTTAGCAACATTAAGCATATATATTTACCTTCAAAGATGTTTATGGAATGGTAAGTCTGCTTGTATTTATTGACATAGGAGCATTACTATGATCCAGAGAGCGGTTCAGGATACCTTGCATGGCGTTTAAAGACCATTCAAAGAAAAACTGCAGAGGACAGAGGTGCCTCAGGTAGCAAATCTCCCAAAAGTAAGTTTCCTCAATAGTGAGTATATGTAAAGTAATGTAAAATCTGTGGCTGGGAGTTAGAAACCTTTTTCTTTTTAAGGTGGTGGACCAGGCCATGGTCACTCCAGGGTTTTCACTGCTGACAAAGTGCTGTCAGATGAGGAAGTGGAAGCAGCTGTTGCTGTTTTGAAACACTCTGCTGATGATGACACGGTCCGTGAGAAGATGAAGGCGACCTTCCATTACCGACATTCAATGGTCAATGATGAAAAGAAAGCAGAAAATGTCTTCTCTGTCTTTCCACGGTTTCTGGACACACCAGGACTGGTAAGACAGCTTTATCTCTTACACTACTAAAATATTCAGTGGCAACAATCCTGTAACCCTGTCCTGTAACCCTGTCCTGTAACCTGTGTATTACCAGTTTGAACCACAACTCTTTCTAAACGGTTTTCCCCTTGGCCAAGACACTTCACCTGGCTTGTCTGCTGGTGGTGTTCAGAAAGCCCGGTGGCACATGGCAGCATTGCTTAAGTCAGTCTTCCCTTGTGCAACTGTGGCTACAATGTAGCTCACCACCATCAGCATGTGAATGACTAAATGTGGTGTAAATCACTTTGGGGTACTCTGGACTTCATAAAGCACTATCCAAGTACAGGCCATTTGTGAATTGCTTTTATTTGTGCATTTCAGATAGAACAAGATTTCAGACTCTTGTTTGGTGAAGGCACTGCCAACAAATTTTTGGAGAAGTGGCCCACCTGTCTCAAATCCAAGGTCATAAAGGAAAGCCATGGCCTGGTACCCACCACTGAGCTCTTGGATTTATTGCGGAATGCAGAGTTGGCTACTGAAGCTGAGAATGGTATGTTGGTCCTCTAGGTAACTGTGACAAATTAATATGTTAGTGGGATGATGGTAACCTGAAGCTGTTGCTCTGTAGGTTGGGATAGTGACATGTCTGCTATTTTGCTTCTACTGCATCTGCTACCACCATCTGCACAAGGACGAAGGAGGCCGGGTAAGATGTCTGCATCTCAAGCAGTGGATCACCTCATCAGATTTCTAAAGGTACTGCTAAACAGTTGTTTAAAGATAAAAAAGCATAATTCAGTCTCTTCATTTTTACAGTTCAAAATTTGATTATGTCTGATCTTCATTCAGAAATTTTTCACTAAATACTTTTGTCATGTTTTTATTTATGTTTCAATGTAGGTTGGAACCAGTGTTCAGCAGCATCTTGACAAAATCAAGCAACGTACCCAGCCCTACCTCCTGGCCCATGGATCCATCCAAAGCAGTATTCATGCATTCTTCATTGTGATTGACAACTATGCCATTCCATGTAAGGCAACATGTTCAGTTGGAGCTCTTGATGAGCTCTTTAAGGCCCATTATGTGTTTGGTACGTCATACAGTGCTCCCTTGACCAACTTCTTCACCTTTCTCCAAACAACTGTTTACAACATAGATGTTGGAGAAACAAAGGAAACACCCAGAGTTGCAGAGTTGAGAGCAAGAATGCTCCATTAGTGTGACATCAAACAATGAAGTGTTTTATCTGCAAATGTGACAGTGATGCACCAAACAGCCTTGTTAAGCACCTTAAACTAATCCTTTGTTCTGGCAGGACTCTCCATATTCAATGTGGTCAAGTAGGATGCTCACGTTCTTTTGGGAGCTTTTCTGGTTTTAGAAAGCATCTAAATAGATGTCATGTTAGTGGTTCATCTGAATCTGTAGAAGATGGGGAGTTTTCACCTTACAAAGCTGTTCTGGACACAAGAGATGCCAGAGATGTTGAAATGGTGACTGAATCTTTAGAGGCTGACACAGATTTATGTTCAACAAACATTGTAAATAGTTGTGCATCAGTAATTTCAGATATGGAGGCTGCAGGTGTTGGCCAAAGTTTGGTGAATTCTGTTGTGATTTCCATGGAAGAGATTGTAAAAGACATCCAACATCACGCTAAAGAAACTGTAATAAAGAATGTATTTAGCAGTGAAAGAGATACTGTGATGTGCAAGAAAGTTGAAGCATGTTTTGAAGAACTTGAGAATCCTTTCACAATTCTTAACTCGGAATACAAAAGATCTAAATTTTTGTCAAGCAAGTGGGAAACTGTAAAACCAATTGAATGTGTAATTGGATCAAGATTTGACACTAGACGAAATAAGAAGACAGGAACATATGATCAGGTTGTAGTTCAAGACAAGTTCATGTATGTTCCAATTCTATGTACTTTGGAGTCTATATTTAAAAGTCCATATTCTACTGAAATGTTGAAAAGCTCAACTTTTGATGACTCAACCCTTAAAGATATTTATGATGGATCTTTTTTTAAGGGTCATCCTTTGTTTTCAACTGAAAAACACTCAGTGCAAATCCAGATGTTTTATGATGATTTTGAGGTAGCAAACCCTCTTGGTTCCAAACGAGGTATTTACAAATTGGGTGCAATATATTTTACATTACGTAACTTCTCTCCAAAATGGAATTCTCTTTTGGCTAACATACACCTTTGTGCCTTGTTTCATGCACAAGATGTTAAACGGTATGGCTTCAGTGAAATTCTTGCACCTATTGTTAGAGACATTAGAGTTTTGGAAACTGATGGAATTTTTATTCCACTGTACGGTTGCCAAGTTTATGGGAGTATTGTGCAGGTTACTGGGGATAATTTAGGCCTACATAGCTTGTTTGGTCTGGTTGAGTCTTTCAGTGCAAGGTATTGTTGCAGGTTCTGTTTAGCTGAAAAAGATGACTTTCAAACAGAATTCTCTGAAGATTCTTCCAAAATAGTGCTGCGCACCAAAGAAATACACACTGAACACTGCCAAGAAATGGCTTACAATCCCTCTCTTCCTTATGTTTTTGGTGTGAAGCGTTCATGTATTTTAAATTCACTTATGTTTTTTCACACAACTGAAAACTTCTCAGTTGATGTGATGCACGACATTTTCGAAGGTATTGGCCAGTACGAGTTGAAAATTTTGTTTGAGTATTTTAAAGAACACATTACATTGGAAGAACTGAATTTGAGAATACAAACTTTTTACTATGGATTCATGGAGAGGAACAACAGGCCAGTGGCTGTCAATTTATGTGGGGAATCGAATGATCTGGGACTAAATGCAGTTCAATCATGGTGCTTGCTGAAGAATGTTCCTCTCATGTTTGGAGATCTGGTAACATCTGATAATCCACACTGGCACCTCCTCCTTTTACTACTACAAATTGTTAATATTGTTCTTTCTCCAATGTTAACCCAAGGTCTGTGTGTATATTTAAAACATTTGATTGTGGAACATCACAAACTGTTTAAAAAGTTGTATCCACAAAAAAAACTTTTACCAAAGCACCATTTTCTCATCCATTATCCTAGGTGCATTCAGAAAATTGGCCCTGTACTTCATAGCTGGTGCATGCGCTATGAAGGTAAACACAATTTTTTAAAGAAACAGTTAAAGTCATTTAAAAACATTACCAAAACACTCGCTAAAAAACATCAAAATTATATGGCACATGTTTGGCAAGCTTCTTCAACTTTTAATCGATTGGACATTGGACCAGGGAAAATGGTATCTTTAAAAATGGTAAAAGGAGGTTCTGACATTTCTGAGGCAGTGCAAGTGTCTCATGAGGCTCAAGTTATGAAAGTGAACTGGGCAAAACACAGTGGGTTTATTTACCGTCCTCATCTGGTTATTTGTGGCAAAGTTGAATCTGAGATGCCTGTCTTTTACCAGATCAAGTCTGTGTTCATAGTTAAAGACAAATTGTTGCTGCTTACATTGCCTTTATGTACAGTAACTTTTCATGAACATTTTCATGCTTATGAAGTTACTAAAATGGTGCAAGATTTTGTTGTGTTTGATGTCAACCATCTATGTTATCCAAAGCCCTTTGACATACAAATGTCATATGAAGCAAATGACACTGCTCTCTTTGTTGTCCCATATTGCTATCTTTGGTGAACATTCTTTTGAAGATCATTAAAATGACACTGTTAAAGTAATTTTGTCACTGGATCATAAAGTTGAATAAATGTTGTCACTGTCAACTTATAACTTTGTGATTATTGTGAGTGATAGATTTTATAAAAGCCATATAATGCTCAAATTTAGCATTATATGGTATATGTGTAAAAAAAACTGGAGAAAGGAAAAAAAAAACAACACAATAAAGTGTACATATTTAAGTAAATTTAGTGTAAAATTAACAACATAAAAATAACAGTATTACTCTGAAGAGTGTAAAACAACAATAGTGTTAAATAAATTGACTCACTGACTTGTTGTTTTTGACACTAAAATGAGTAAAATTAACTCTGACAATTTGACACTGGCTATAGAGTACATTTTACTCTATTTTCGAGTGGGACCAAATGTTATCTGAAACGGAGTTAAATTCAACTCTATAGGTGTTAAATTGACACTTTGTTTTTTACTGTGTAAGTGCTTCACACCTTAAAAACACAACAGTCATAGGACAGTCAACAACAGAAGGATTACATTTTGTCAAGTGNGAACAGACCATGCTACTGCGTGTTTTGTTTGGTGGGGAGCAGAAGTACGTGAAACTTTCTAATCTAACATTTGATGCATTCCTGAGAGAAGGTTAGTAAATTAGTAATATAATATTGCTAAAGAAATCCATCTTGCATTAAGTATTTTTTCTTTCCATTAACGTATTAAAATGTTGTACTGGATTGAACTCACTGGCATTTTGTAAAATTAGTTGGGTTACTCTACTTATTTCAGCCTTTGTTTATCAGCAGTACATGTTTTCATTTTCACTTCTTTAATATTTCTTTAGTGTGCCTGAAGTTTAACATTCCAGAAGGCAGACAGCAGGATCTGAAGGTGTATGACCAGTCTGAAACAGAAGTTGATGTAGATGTTTTTGAAGAAATAGTGAATCAGTCACCTGGAACCTTTCGAGTTATGTTGAGCAACAAAGAAGATCCTGGTAATTCACCGATGTATATATATTTCATTTAGAAGCTGGTTTGGGAGCATTAGAGTTCTCCTAAACAGGCTGTTGCTTTACTTTTTGCAGGTGCTGTTCTACCATCATCATCTTCATCTTCAGTGACATCTGATGATACTATCATTCTGGATTTCCCAATGTGTGACCCATCAGAAGAAGCCACTGCTGAAGGAAGTCAACCTAAAAGCCCATGTAAAATAAATTGTGAGGTGCAAGCGGTAAGTTATTACATTTAATTTAGCATTGTTTATGTACTTAATAGGTTTAGTGGTTCAAGAGTTTGTTTTTTTTTCTTTGAAGTTGAAGTTGATTGAAAAAAATCTTGACAACAAAGCCTGGTGGTGGTGAGCGAATCATGCAAGAGTATGCAAGAACTAAATGCTGGACAGATGCAACCAGAAGACAGATGCTAAACATCCTTACAGCTGCAATGACAGAAGCACATGTGTAAGAATCATACACTGAGGCTATAAAGAAACATTTTGTTTTGAATTGTTTTTCATTATTTTTTCAAATGTCAGTTTAGTGACTCATTGTTTCATCAGATCATCCCCTCCTAAAAGCGTCAGAGTGATGTATGCTCAGGGGATCGTTGCCTTATTTCCTTATCTGGAAGACCCATTTTCAAAACATGAATATGTAAGTAAAAGGGTCTTAGCAACATTAAGCATATATATTTACCTTCAAAGATGTTTATGGAATGGTAAGTCTGCTTGTATTTATTGACATAGGAGCTTTACTATGATCCAGACAGCGGTTCAGGATACCTTGCATGGCGTTTAAAGACCATTCAAAGAAAAACTGCAGAGGAAAGAGGTGCCTCAGGTAGCAAATCTCCCAAAAGTAAGTTTTCTCAATAGTGAGTATATGTAAAGTAATATAAAATCTGTGGCTGAGAGAAACTTTTTTTTTTAGGTGGTGGACCAGGCGATGGTCACTCCAGGGTTTTCACTGCTGACAAAGTGCTGTCAGATGAGGAAGTGGAAGCAGCTATTGCTGTTTTGAAACACTCTGCTGATGATGACATGGTCCGTGAGAAGATGAAGGCGACCTTCCATTACCGACATTCAATGGTCAATGATGAAAAGAAAGCAGAAAATGTCTTCTCTGTCTTTCCACGGTTTCTGGACACACCAGGACTGGTAAGACAGCTTTATCTCTTACACTACTAAAATATTCAGTGGCAACAGTCATAGGAGTTTGTCCTGTAACCTGTGTATTACTAGTTTGAACCACAACTCTTTCTAAACTGTTATCTCCTTGGGCAAGACACTTCACCTGCCTTGCCTGCTGGTGGTGTTCAGAAAGCCCGGTGGCACATGGCAGCATTGCTTAAGTCAGTCTTCCCTTGTGCAACTGTGGCTACAATGTAGCTCACCACCATCAGCATGTGAATGACTAAATGTGGTGTAAATCACTTTGGGGTCCTCTGGACTTCATAAAGCACTATACAAGTACAGGCCATTTACCGTCTTATCACTGTGTGAAATGCTTTTATTTATGCATTTTAGGTAGAACAAGATTTCAGTTTGGTGAAGGCACTGCCAACAAATTTTTGGAGAAGTGACCCACCAGTCTCAAATCCAAGGTCATAAAGGAAAGCCATGGCCTGGTACCCACCACTGAGCTCTTGGATTTATTGCGGAATGCAGAGTTGGCTGCTGAAGCTGAGAATGGTATTTGTAGGTAACTGTGACAAATTAATATGTTAGTGGGATGATGGTAACCTGAAGCTGTTGCTCTGTAGGTTGGGATAGTGACATGTCTGCTATTTTGCTTCTACTGCATCTGCTACCACCATCTGCACAAGGACGAAAGAGGCCGGGTAAGATGTCTGCATCTCAAGCAGTGGATCACCTCATCACATTTCTGAAGGTTCTGCCAAACACTTGTTTCAAGATAAAAATGCATAATTCAGTCTCTTCATTTTTACAATTCAAAATTTGACTGTCTGATCTTCATTCAGAAATTTTTCACTAAATACTTTTGTCATGTTTTTATTTATTTTTTTAATGTAGGTTGGAACCAGTGTGCAGCAGCATCTTGACAAAATCACACAACGTACCCAGCCCTACCTCCTGGCCCATGGATCCATCCAAAGCAGTATTCACTCATTCTTCATTGTGATTGACAACTATGCTATTCCATGTAAGGCAACATGTTCAGTTGGAGCTCTTGATGAGC